GACTGTTTTTTTAAGTACTCTCTTTTGTACACCTTGCATCTTCTGGATGCCATATATAAAATTCCGCTTACTTTTTCAAAAAAAAAAAAAAGATGATGTATACTACTGAAGGAATGCCTACTGNAAGTACACTTTTAGCCCCTGAATTCTTGACTAATTTTATTTTTGTCCTTGTGATATTCGATTAGACATATTTAAGCTTCGTTTTAATGAATAGCCACACATTTATTGAATTTTTATATGTTAATTCTTGACTAAAAAAGATGATGTATACTACTGAAGGAATGCCTACTGCAGAATCCTCTTTGAATTAAAACATCTAATATTTGAACCAAGAGTATCCCAGGAAAAAGAAATGCAGTCTTGAAAATATACCTTTGTGGGATCAACAGCATCAAGATAAAGAAGCTGAGCAACTATTATATTAGCCATATCATCATCAACTGCTCCACCACATCGTATGATCCTCTACAAGAAGATAATAATAATACAAGAGTTAAAATTTTAGCATATACTTCAAAACTTGGCAGTCAGTGTAAAATTTTCCATAAAAACACAAATCCTTACATATTGGAAGAGCTGGCTGATCACACTCTGAAATCTCTCTTGTACCATCGGAGGTGGTCCTTGAGCTTGGGAATATGTAGGAAAATAAGGTGATGATGGAACTTGCAAATCATCTCTGCAAAACACAATAACAAGGAAAAATCATATGACATAACGGATTTCTGTGGCACATAAGATGACAAAGCAACTAAGTCATTAACAATGAATTCTTAAGATTTATGAAACAAGTCCACGAAACTGAAATTTTCTCTCAATAAATCCTACAAAAATGACCTAAGAGAACATCCTTCAATATATTTTGCTGGAGAACTTACGTGATTCTCCAGTGAAGCAAAAGAAAATAAAGAAAAAAAGTAGTACTTCTTCTGTCTCAATTGATATGAACTCTTTCAATCTTGGGAAATCGCAAATTGTTAGACACCATTCCACTAACAATTTTGATTCCACACAACCTTCCCAAATTTCAAGAATTCAAAATTCACTTCAGTATTCAATTTTTGAACTTTCATGTGACGTTTTTGATATGGAACAAACTTTTCAACCCTCACTTTAGTATTTTCTTCTGCTACTAATATTGAAGTCAAATTGACATCTTAAACAGGAGACAGGCCGGCACACCCATATTTCTTATGCATTGTCTAAACTTGGTTTAGCTAAAATTGAGCATAAACCCAAGATATACAAGTCAAATTGACATCTCCAATAGACAATTTCCTGCTAACAAGGAAAAAAGAACAAAATTTGCAGATTTAACAAGGAATTCCAACAAGACTCAAAAGATTGGGGTTTTAAAGAAGTTTAGAAACCTTATAGACCAAATTCCTGTAGGTGAAGCCTTAGCTGAATCCCACTCAGCTCCGGAATATACGGCTTTCACGGTGCTGTTTCCCCTATTCTTCCCCTTCCCAACAGTCTTTAATTTCCTGGGGAATTAGCAAAAAAAAAAAATCAAAACTTTAAAGGAAAAAATTCAACATTAGCTACATATAAAAGTGAAAATATGCAAACCCATCTGAGTACCTGAAGGGAAGATGTTTAAATGGGAGGGAAACGGGGTGGGCTTGGGGAAGAGTGCAAGATTCAATTGGGTACTTGAATTTTGAGACGGAGGAAGTTGTAGCTATGCAAGAATGTGCCATTTTTCCGGGATTTTTTTTGCTGAGAGAGAGAGAGAAGGGTGTTGATATTTGCTGAGTTTGGAGTAGAGGGGAAGAGTAAAAAGATAGGTTTTTGGGGCAAAGAGTAGTTGAGTGTTGGAGTAAGCAAATAACGAGAACGACGAGCTTGGACGTTGCGGAACAGCGCTCTCAGCGTAACTTAGCACATATCCCATAAACGTACGCCCCTCAACCAAATAGTAATTGGGAAAAATAGAGGTGTTAAAATGAGAAAAATGAAAATTGATAGGCCGGTTTTAAAATTCTGTGCGAATTTAGGGGGTACTTGGGCCATTCTGCCAAAATAAAAAGACTTAACCAGGACTTAGCTCAGGTTCATTGCAAAAGTAATTGGGTCGGTCTTGGCTTGGCTTAACTTAATAGTGTAGCAAAACAATATTAAGCTCAGCTTTCTCAACGTTCAAGCCTAGATAAAGTAGGTATCGAACATCAAAAAAATCTTTGTGGCTATTCTTCATTTGGTTGAGGAGAGATATACTATTAAAGTAGAGGCATATTAGTTGTGGTAGTTACATTAGTTACTGTTGAATTTGTCAAATCTCACATCGGTGGTTTTGCCTTTTGGCAGAGAATATTTCTTTATAAAAGGAGGCCTAATGTTTGGGATTTAAACACACCTCTTATTTGCCTTTTTATCTTTTTAAGACATTTGTATCTTCTCTCTTTAGTATTATTTCACTTGTATTTTTGGAGTGGAATAAAATATTAGTTGTGTCCGAGGAAGTAGGCAAAATTGGCCGAACCTCGTAAATTCTGTTGTTCCTTTTATTGTTGTTTTATTATCTTATTTATTATTTGGTGGTTGTCATAATTTTTTGGTATAGTAGTTGTGACTCGTTCACACTATATACATTTGGCTTCCGCAACAGTTACATTGTGAGTGTGGGATATTTTAGTCCTTTCACCTGCTCTACACACGTGAATCGTGTAAGCTCATGTGAGTTGAGTTGTATATAACTAACTTACTCATTATGTATTAACATGGCAGTTAATCACATAATGAAAGATTCACTTTCTTCTTCCTCTCTCGTTCTCTCATTTTCATTCTAGCTTCTTTCAATCGCATGCAATTGTTTTCCTTGCTAAATCTGTACACAGATTCTATCATGGTATCAAAACAGGAGATTTGAGATTAGATTGATGATTTCAAAATTCCAATTGACGGCCATTTTTGAAGCTTAAGCTGGCGAGTCATGGCAAAAATTGGAAATCTGCAAATTGATCACAATCACCCGTTGTTTTTACAACAAACTAACACTCCTGGAATAGCGTTGATAGATATCAAGCTTACAGGACCAGAAAATTACGCCTTATGAAGCAGATCGATGAGAATGGCCTTGTTGGTGAAAAACAAGCAAGGGTTCATCGATGGAACTTGTTTAAAAAGCTCTTATAGAGGAGAATTAGGGTATCAATAGGAACGGTGCAATGCTATGTTGCTTTCGGGGATAGGTCGCACTGTATCTACTGAATTGCAGCCAAGCATCATCTACGCATCAGATGCGAGGAAGATATGGAATGAATTTAAGGGACGTTTTAACAAGTCAAACCTTATTAGATTTTATCACTTGTGGACGACAATAGGAACACTGAGGCAATGAACCGACTCTATAACATCCTATTATACTAAGATGAAGGATTTGTGCGATGAAATGAATTTAATGGTGGCAGGAGTAGGATGTGAATGTGAGGAAACCAAGCCTTTTCTAGATCAGTTTAAGAACTTGCATTTGTTGCAATTCCTTGTTGGTTTAAATGAAAGCTACAGTCATGTGAGAAGTGAGATTCTACTTAAAACACCGGTGTTGACTGTGAACAAAGCATATGCATTAGCAGTTCAGGAAAAGAGTCAATGTACACTTAGTGTAGTTAATTTAGACAAGGAGCCTTTAACTATGCTAGCTGGAAGAGGACAATGTTTCAAAGCAGGAAGGAAACCATGACTCATATGTGATTACTGTGGCTACAATGGTCACTTAAAGAAGAATTGTTCCAAGATTATAGGCTATCCACAAGACTTTAAAAGCAAGACGAAATATCAAAACTCTGGTGTGAAGGGTTATGCAAATGTGTCAGCTGGAGAAGGAGGGAGCTCTAATACGCCGGGACACTACTTCACAGAGGATCCATACAAACAGCTATTGGGACTCTTGAACAAACCAGATCCCGATACAGGTGACTGTTATACTCTTATGGCAGGTATAACTTCATTGTTATCCAAGACATTTAACTATGATTGGATAATAGATACATGTGCATCACATCAAGTTACACCTTATAAAGAAGTATTAGAAAATATACAAAAGATTGAAAACCAAAATAACAATGGTGTGCAAGTACCTACATGAGGTAAATACCATGTAGCACATACAGAAAATGTAAAGATATTACAGGATTTGATACTAAGGGATGTTCTGCATGTTCCTGACTTTAAATTCAATTTAATATCAATCTCTAAACTGACTAATAAGTTTTCATGTTGTGCTTCATTCTTTCCAGATTTTTGTGTATTTCAGGGTCTTTACAGTGGGAAGGTACTGGGGATTGGTAAAGAGCATAATGGTTTATATCTGCTAAAGAAAGAGCTCAATAAGGAATTCCCAGCTATAATAGGAAGTGTAGTGCAAATGCAGGAAGATTCAGCACTCTGGTACATGAGATTAGGTCATCTTTCAACTGTTATAATGCAACATATTCCTCTATTAAAGAATAAGGTGGATACCAAGTTACAACATAGTTGTGAAATATGTCTTTTAGCAAAGCAAAATAGACTGCCTTTACAGCTTAGTACTAGTAAAACAGATCAGATTTTTTAACTTGTCCATGTAGATGTTTGGGTCCTCACGGGATATCAACATATGACGAAAAATACTACTTTGTAACTTTAGTGGATGATTTTAGCAGATATACTTGATTATATTTGTTACAGTCTAAGTGTGAAGTAGTTGTTGTGTTGAAGGATTTCTTTACTATGGTGCATAATTAATTTTGTTTGAATGTCAAAAAACTGAGATCAGATAATGGAACTGAGTTCTTCATTTCAAAATGTAATCAGTTGTCGACTTCATTAAGAATTGTGCATCAAAGTAGTTGTCCATACACACCCTAACAAAATGGGGTGGTGGAGAAAACACAGGCATATACTGGAGGTAGCTAGAGCCTTGAAGTTTCAAAGCTCCTTACCAACAGATTCTGGGGAGTCTGTGTAAAAATAACAGTTTACGTGATAAACAAGTGGCCAACTTCTATTCCGTCAGAGCAATCACCCTTTATAAGAAACCAGCTAAGATTGAGCATCTAAAGGTGTTTGGTTGCTTGTGTTTTGTAAGCACTCTACCAAAAAGGAGACAAGTTTGCTCCAAGATTTAGGAGAGCTGTAATGATAGGGTATTCAGAGACTCAGAAGGAATACATATTATATGATTTGGAGAGCAGGACATTCCTAGTAAGCATGGATGTTATATTCAGAGAGCAGAATTTCCTTTTAAAGGAATGATCTCAGACTTGGATGACATATTTCCACAAGATCCTCCTTAATGCCTATTGATGAATCATCTAATTCTAACACTTTTCACCGCATTTCTCATGATATCCATGCACCAGCTGGAAGTGCCTCTCCAATTACCACACAAGCAGAACCACAAAATCAGCCACTTGAAGAATTGCCTACAGACAATGTTGATCATTTATCATCACAAGACCATGAAGAGGCAGATGAACACATCATTCATCCAGATTCTTTAGCTACACATACAGTAGAAAAAGTAGCAGAAATTCCAACTAAAGGAGATGCTATTATTGATATTAGAAAATCAACAAGACACTTTAGACCACCTATATGGTTAAAAGATTATATGACAAAAGGGAAGTTCACAGACAACAGTCTATATCCAATCTCACAATGACTGTCATATGCAAACCTCACTGTAGGATATCAGTCTTATTTGAAAACCTTCTCAGCATACACTGAACCTGATTCATTTAAGGAGGCTGCTCAAGATAGCAGATGGGTTGAGGCAATGCAGCAGGAGATAAATGCATTAGAAGAAAACAATACATGGAAGTTGGTTGATATACCACTAGAGAAGCATGTTATTGGATCAAAGTGGGTCTACTAGATAAAGCATAAAGGAAATGGAGAAATAGAAAGGTTTAAGGCCAGATTAGTAGCCAAAGGTTACAACCAAAAGGAGGGTCTAGACTACCATGACTCTTTCTCTCCAGTGGCAAAAATGATAACTACTAGAACCATTATGAGTATTGCTGCAGCAGAAAGATGGAATTTGCATCAAATGGATGTCAACAATGCCTTCTTACAAGGCGACTTATATGAAGAAGTCTATATGGCCTTACCGCAAGGATTTCATAGACATGGGGAGAGAAAGGTTTGCAAGCTGATAAAGCCACTTTATAGATTAAAACAAGAATCAAGATAATGGAATATAAAGCTCACTGATGCCTTGATCACATATGGCTACATAAAGAGTACATTTGATCACTCTCTCTTCAGCAAAAGGCAAGGCTCAGATATGGTCATCATACTGGTCTATATAGATGATTTATTGATTACTGAAAGTAATTCTCAACTAGTCAATGATGCTAAGAAGACATAGCAAAGTCAGCTCAAAGTGAAGGATTTGGGAGAATTAAGATACTTCCTTAGTATTGAGGTCCTCAGTTCACAAAAAGGGATCCTACTGAATCAAAGAAAATATGCGCTTGAGTTGATTTCAGAAGTAGGATTAAGTGGTTCTAAGCCTGTTTCAACATATCTGGAGTTGAATCAAAAGCTTACCACTATAGAATATGATGCTCATGTAGGGAGAATAGGAGATCCAAAATTAGATGACATCACTGCATATCAGAAGTTGATTGGGAAGCTCTTATATTTAACAATCACACGACCTGACATTAGCTTTGCAGTCCAAACATTAAGTCAATTCACGCAAAGTCCAAAACAATCTCATATGGATGTAACCTTAAGAGTGGTTAAATACATTGTAGGAGCACCAGATCTAGGAGTACTTTTGCAAGCAAAGCCAATTGACAGTTTAACTGCCTATTGTGATGCAGATTGGCAGCTTGTCCTAATACTAGGAGATCTGTGACAAGATATATTGTTAAAATGGGTAGTTCTCTGTGACAAGATATATTGTTAAACTAGGTAGTTCTCTGATTTCATGGGAATCTAAGAAATAACAAACAATTAGTAGGAGCTCAGCAGAAGCAGAATATAAGAGTATGACAGCTGTGGCAACAAAAATAACTTGGTTATCAGGCCTTCTTGAAGAACTAGGGATACCAATCTCTAAACTTGTTCAACTATTATGTGACAATAAAGCAGCTATTCAAATAACTGTGAATCCCATATTTCATGAACGCACCAAATACATAGAAATAGGTTGTCACTTTGTGCGACAAAAAAATCAAGTCTGGGCTCATAGCACCTCACCATGTTAGCTCTGCTCTTCAACTTGCAGACCTGTTCACAAAGGGTCTGTCTATTCCTCGTCATAACTTGCTAGTTTCCCAGCTTTGAGTGTTTGTTGCCTTCCACCCTCCAGCTTGAGGGGGAGTATTAGAGTAAAGACATATTAGTTGTGGTAGTTACATTGTGAGCGGGGGTATTTTAGTCCTTTCATATACTCTACACACATGAATCGTGTGAGCTCATGTGAGTTGAGTTGTATATAACTAACTCACTCTGTGTTAACAGGGCAGTTAGTCACATAATGAAAGATTCGCTTTCTTATTCCTCTCTCGTTCTCTGATTTCCATTCTAGCTTATTTCAATCGCATGCAATTGTTTTCCTTGCTAGATCTGTACAGAGATTCTATCATATATTTTATATTAATTATTTAATCATGTATATTCAATTAATAAAAGTAATTACAAACATGGTGTTATTTAGATCACTTAAATTTTCAAGTTGGACAATTTGATCATATGTTATAGCCTATAGGTGTCAAACTTACAGATTTTCTACTAAATGAAGGTCACAACTGTAACGACGATTTGCTAATTTGAGAAAATGCGCTTAAGGAAATTGAATTTTTTTCTCCTAACAGATTTAAACCATGTAGCTTAAGAAAGATTTTAGATAACTTATTTAAATTTTTTCAATGTACAACAAAAAAATAGGTGTCTACATCACAAACAGTCAATAGAAAAAGTAGAAAAAATACAACGCTGGAAACCCCAAACAATAGCTGTTAGAACCCAATGAGATTCGAATCTGGGGACAATGAGAAAGAGAAGAAGATCGTCGCACGGTAGAGAGAGAAAAATTGGATTAACAAAAATGACCGGTTCACTCTCTCTGGACCCTTCTATAAGTTATGTAAGATCCATTTACAAAGAACAAGCTGGAAAAGAAAAATGATACAAGGCCAACTACAACCCAATATAAATAACGAAGCCCAAACACAACCAAAGCCCAACTAAGCCCAACTAATATTCTAACACCCCCCTCAAGTTGGAGGGTGGTTTGCCACACCCAACTTGCTTAAGATGGATCGGTGAGCCACTCCAGGAAGAGCTTTAGTTAATATGTACGCAAGTTGCAGTCTGCTAGGTACAAAAGATAAAGAGATGAGACCCTCATGAAGCTTTTCCTGCACAAAATGACTGTCAAGCTCAATATGCTTGGTGCGTTCGTGAAAAACAGGATTTCGAGATATATAGATGGCATATTAACTGTCATAATGAAGGGGAACTGGAACAATCGAAGCAACGGACAGCTCATTGAGCAATCTGGTCAACCATGCCAACTCCGCAACGACTCTACGCATAGACCTGTATTCTGCTTCAGTAGAAGAGAGTGCAACGATTTGTTGTTTCTTGGATTTCCAAGTAATAAGGGACCCCCTTAAGTAGAACCAAATAACCACTAACAGATTTGTGAGAATGGGGACAAGTTGCCCAATCAGAATCGCAGTAAGCTTGAAGAGAAAAATCAGGATCATTAGACATAAAAAAACTTTGACCCAAAGTCCCTTTGACATATTTAAGCACATGAAAGGCATCAGTGAGATGAGAAGAAGAAGGAGCATGCATAAATTGGCTTAAAATTGAATAGAAAAGTCAAGGTCGGGTCTAGTATTAGTGAGAAAATTCAGTTTCCCAACCAACTTTCTGTAAAGTGTATGATCAGGCAAGAGTTCCTCAGAATTGGCTTTGAATTTCATAGTAACATCCATCGGACTAGCTACAGGAGTGCAATCCAAGTAGTTGAACTCAGTTAAGAGATCAAGAGCAAACTTCCTTTGACAAACGATCACCCCTCCAGGTTCTGGTAACACTTCCGAACCAAGAAAATAGTGAAGAAGCCCCAAATCTTTTATTTTAAACTGATGGTCCAGAAAAAGTTTGAGGGAAGACATTTCTTTTTCATCATTCCCACTCAACAAAATGTCATCAACATAAACAACCGCAATACTAATAAGACCATGACCAGACTTAATGAAAAGTGAGTAATCATTCTTAGAAACTGAATAGCCCATGGGAATAAGAGATTCGCTCAACTTGGAATACCATTGTATAGAGGCTTGTTTTAAACCATATAAAAAATTTCAATTTGCACACCATATTGCTCCCAGAAACCATCATACCTTGAGGAATTCTCATGTACACCTCTTCATCTAAATCCCCATGCAAAAAGGCATTGTTGACATCTAATTGAAACATATTCCAACCCTTCTTAACAGCTACATCAATGATTGATCTGATTGTGGTCATTTTGACAACAGGAGAAAAAGTTTCTGTGTAGTTAATTCCTTCTTGTTGAGTGTCCCCTTTCACAACTAATCTTGCCTTAAATCTTTATATACTCCCATCGGCCTTATGTTTAATTTTATATACTCATTTATTTCCAATTGGTTTCTTTCCAGGTGGAAGAGGTACAATATTCCAAGTCGCATTAGCTTTAAGGGCCTCAAATTCTTTCAACATAGCTTCCTTCCAGGTAGGATGTAATGCTGCATGTTGATAAGTTGTTGGCTCAAGAACAATATCTAAAGCTTTATTAAACCTTGATTAGTTGAACTTAAACTACTAAAGCAAACTGACTTGAGAGAAGTAGGAACATAAGTTAAAGTGAGTGGAAAACGAGAAGAAGCAGAAACACACACATAATCTTTCAGGTAAGAAGGTTGATGATGGCGCCGAGAAGGATATCTTAGAGGAACTTCAGGTGCAGTAACTTGAGAAGGTGCAAAAATATCAGAGATAGGAATTGAAACAGGTGGAGAAAGTGAGGTAACAGAAGAGGGAGAAGGTGTAGAAATATTTTGGGAAGAAGGAGAAGTGTGCTGACGAGAGGAATTAGTAGGACCAGGTATACAAGAGGTAGGATAATCAAAGTTTGAAGAACTAAAAACATCTGGAAACAATGTTGTAGGTGAAGTGGACTCAAAGTAAGGAAAAATATTTTCATGAAAAACAACATCTCTAGAGATGAGGATTTTCCTGTCTGAAAGTTGCAGCAGCTTGTATGCTTTTTTTCCAGGAGGGTAACCAAGGAAAATGCATGGAGTAGATCTTGGAGAAAATTTATCTCTTAAAGGCTTAGGGACCACTACATAACACAAGCAATCAAAACTCCTCAAGTGATTATAGGTAGGTTGGACTCCATATAGAATTTCAAATGGGATTTTTCCAGATAAAATTGTACTAGGAAGTCTATTTATTAAGTAGGTAGTTGTGAGTATACAATCTCCCCAAAAATGAAGTGGAAGTTTGGATTGATATAGGAGAGTCCTTGTTGTTTCTAAGAGATGTTTGTGCTTTCTCTAAACTATACCATTTTATTAAGGTGTATAAGGGCACGAAGTCTGATGTAAAACTCCTTTTGACTGAAAGAATTGAGTGGCTTCAAAACTCATACCAAGTTTTAGGGCATTATCTGTTCTAATGGTTTTAATTTTCAGGTTGAATTGAGTCTCAACCATTGAAAAAAATGATTTTAGGACAGAAAGTGCATTCCCTCTGGTGTTTTAAAGATGAGTCCAAGTACCTATACTACAATCATCTACCAGTGTTAAAAAATACTTGCAATTTCTGTATGTTGCAGTGTGATATGGTCCCCATATATTATAGGTGTTAAATGGGTCGGGTCAGCCCGGTTTCGGACCAGCCCATACAGGTTAAAATCGAAACCGGCCCAGACCGGTATAAGGGGGCTGGGTTGGGCTGGGTTAAGGGGGACATGCGGGTTGCACCATTCACATTTGAAATACCGGTTACCCAGACCGATACAACCCGATAGATAAACAATGATATCAAACCGGTTAACGGGCCCGACCCGGACCGGTTTAACAGTAATTTTTTTTTTTTAAATATGGGCCCATATCTGACTGTTGGCAACGGTCCATTTCAGAAAATGGTCGTTGCCCAACGGCTGAATTGCACAATTAGCCCAATTTTTTTTTTTTAAAAAATTAACCCCTTTTCAAAAACTATAAATACCCCCCCTCTCTCTTCCTCATTTTTTCACTCATCTCTCAATTCTCAATCTCAATTCTCATATTCTCTCATTCTTCAATCTTTATTCTTCACCTATTAAAGTGCAATCAACTATTTGGCTATTTTTTTTGAAATTTAATTTATCGTAGTATTTATTTTTTGAAGTTTGAACAATTGAACTTCAAAATTGGAATAATTGATGTTTCTTTGTGGTAACATTGGAGTTGCAAAATCATCAAGTGCTCAATTTATTGCCGAATTCGGTGCACTCCCTCTAACTCTTTCTCCTATTTACTATTTTATTTGCATATTTATTTGTTTTGTTGCTAGTAGTTAAATTTTTACAATTTGTTTAATACTGCAAAAAGAGTTTATAACAAGGTTACTAATCGGGAAAATAAAAAAAAGGTAGTACTTCAGCTTCAGCATCTAGTAGTAATTTAAATACCTCTCCAAATATTACTGAAACATTACCTGATAATAATATAGATTATGAACAATTGCAGGAAGATTTTTGTATAGATGATAATGAATTAGAAATGGAAGATGAGATACCACTTACACCTAGTAGTGTTGGAGCTGCTAGCAGGGATGGTGGTCGTGGTGCTAGTAGTAGACCACCTGTGGACCCGACTAGTAATCGTA